GGGTGGTCAAGCACTGGAACAGGCTACTTAGAGAAGCCATGGAATCTCCAATCCTGAAAATTTTCAAGAGGAAGTTGGACACATATTTGCCTGGGATGGTTTAGTTGGGGATGATACTGGCCTCTTGAGCAGGGGGCTGGACTAAATGATCTCATGAGGTCCCTTCCAGCCTTGCTTTCCTTTGATCCTGTGTACCTGTGGACCATTCCTCTGCTATTATAAGAATCAAAAGAACAGCTATCTTTTTAAATGTTGCTGAGTGATGCTCCAGAAAACCTAATTGAAAGGGGGTAGGATCAAAGCTACCACACAGGCAGATGCAGTAAAGGCAGCATCATTTCACCCATGGCTTTATGCAGATGAGGAAGAATGTCTGGGAAAGCAAAATCTACCCTAATCCTGGAGGCAAGACACAGTACAGTTGTGAACACATAGCCCATTTTTGGTACTCCCAATTTGAAAAGCAGAAGCACATTTTCACCTTGTTTCATCAACAAGGGTGTTGTTCTCATCAACATACTCTCAGGTTTCAGCAAAGGCCTGGGTCTGATCTGGCAAGCTGCTGTGGTACTGCAGGGAAGCCAGCTGGAGTTGAGAGTTCTCACCAGTTTGCATGATCTATCTGTCTGTCAACGTACCCACATTCAGGTTCTTACTGTCTGCACATCTGTATTGCTTCCTACTGTGTTAGGCAATGTCACTTTGAAAACATGCCCCACCCACTCGCTTCTGTTCCATATGTGCCAGATGCTGAAAAAATGCCATGTGACTATCAGTAGAACAGACCTGGGAACACACTAATTAGCAGAGCCAACTGTGAGAGCACCCCTTCTTGGCTCAAGTTGAATCACAGTCCCCCAGCATCCCAGGAGCCTTTGCAGCCCTGGTCTATGCTGTGAGTTGAGCAGGGTTGGCCTCACCTCCCTGCTTTCTAGTTCAAGCTGTTAGGGCTGGCTGACAAGGGGGTGGGGTGGGAAACCTGTCTGGGGACACAGCCTTGTCTTCTTGGCAGGGGCGGAGCAGCTGCCCCTAACAGACTTTTCCCACTGGAATGGAGGGGGCTTGGGTATGGCACAGAAAGATTAAACCCCCCTGATTCCTCTATCCCACCAGCACAGGATCCCACCTCACTTTTCCCTGGCTTTCCCCCCCTGCTTGCAACTTAGTACAGCCAGGGACCCCCAGAGACCCCTCCCAGCCAAGGGGTGATCCCACTGTACCTTCCCAGCCCCAGGCAGAGGTTTCACTTGGGGCAGCTCACAGCAAAGGCCAGTTCGGGGGGGAGGGAGGGGAGTGAAATGGGCCCCAAACCCAGGTGGGGATATGCACAGAGCAGAGTGTAGAGGGATCGTGGTGGCAGCAGCTTCATCCTGGATGTGAGCCCTGCTGAGCAGAGGGACCCAAGCTGGGGTGGGGGGGGAAAGGGCTGGAGTGTGTGTCCACACTAGCCCAGGTCAGAGCCAAGCTGAGTCAGACATGCAGCTGGGGGAGCAGCTCCTGCTTGATGGCTCCTTCTATGTACTGGAGAGTAGTGCCGAGGCAAGCCCTGGCTCTGGGCCCCGCAACAGTCCCTGGAGCTGGGCAAGGGCAACAGGAATCTGGGCAGCATGATGCTGGAGGCCAAGCTGGGCCAGGTGCTGGGCTTCTTCATAGGCTCCAAGGCAGATGGGCACAAGGGCTCCCTGGGTGGGAAGGGGGAGCTGGCTGCGCACATCACTACTGCACAGTACTCACTGGATGGCCTCAGCCACAAGCACTACTACTACCATCCCCCAGACCATGTGGCACCAAACTGGGCACACCCTGCTCATTCTTCCCTTACCCAGCAGCTGCAGCGACACAGCACAGCCCTGTGTACGAGGTGTAAGGAACAGGGCACTAACCCTGCAGCTTCACTGCTGCTGCTACCACCATCAAGGGGGCCTGCCCTGATCCTACTGATAGGTGCCACCCATGCTGCCCATGCTGCTGAACTGTGGTTGGCCACTGGACAGGCAGCTGGTGGCAGTGGGGAAGCTGCCTGGGGGCAGCACGGAGCCATAGGGGTAGTGCCCCATGCCTGGCACCTGGTATATGGGGCCATGCTGTGCCACTGCTACTTCTGGGTAATGGAAGAGTGAGCAGGGTGCACCCAGCTTGACACCCAGTAGCCCGGGGGATGGCAGGGAGTAGTACTCAGGGCTGAAGCCATTCAGCTAGTACTGTGCAGTAGTGGTGGGTGCAACCAGCTCCTCCTTGCCTCCTGGGGAGCCCTTGTGCTCATCTGCCTTGGAACCTGTGAAGGAGCCCAGCGCCTGGCCTGGCTCAGCCTCCAGCATCAAGCTGCCCAGCTTCTTGGGGCCCTTGTCCAGCTCCAGGCACTGCTGGAGTGAGCCCGCTCTGTGGACACCACTGCAAGGACTGGGGCCTGCCCAGGTGCCACTCTCCAGTGGGTAGAAGGGGCTGTCGGGCAGGAACTGCTTCCCCACCAACTGCATGCTCAGCTCAGTTCAGCTCTGCCCCGGGCTAGCACAGACTCACTCCAGCCCATTCCCTGAACCCACCCACAGCTTGGGTCCCTCTGCTCAGAAGGGTACTCTGGGGGTCCTGGGCCATACTGAGCTGCGAGCAGGGGGAAAAGGCCAGGCAGAATCCAGCTGAGGTTCTGTGGTTTTAACAGAATGTACAGATTTACATATTATTTATAGCTTGATGTTGCAATGGCATAGGCTGTTGTTTAACACTGGAAATTTAAGCTCAAAATACAGATTCATTCTTTGTTCTGTTCTTTCTTTCTTCATTAGTGTGCTTCAGGTGCATTTTTTTCCTTTACAAATAAAACCTGGGGATGAAAAGGACTGATGGTTCTTGTATCCTGTTTAAAGAAAGAGTCTGTAAAACAGCTGGCTGTTTACATTCACACCAGTATTCTAAGCTGCAGGGGTATAGTTAATTATTAATGAGAAAAGTATATACTGTGTTTAAGTCACAAAGGAGATCTCCCTTCATGTGCAGTGAACTGAGTCAGCCCACTCCCTTTATAACTTAGGCAAAGAAAAAGGGTTAGGGCATATATGGATATATGAACAGGATGGCTGTTTTTTCCTCTTTGACATTCTGGAATTAGTAAATAAAGCAGTTGGGTGAATTCAATCTACCCATTGGATAATGTGACACTAAAAGGTGACTAAGCCAGTCGCAGAGAGTTTTAAACGTCCACAGACTGTAATAAGATGTGAAATGCCAAATTGATCTATGGCATAAATGGAATCTGGCTTGAAAGGAATTTCTACACTTGTGCTAGAGGTACGTTTGGCCACAGAAATTATTGTTGTTCCTTAAAAGCTTACTTGCTCGCAGACTCATTCTTTGTGTTAGTATATATGCCCCACTGTTTCTGTGGATTTTAACCAGACCACAAACACGGACATTGTGCAATGCAAAGAGGCTGTACATCATAGTGAATTAGAAGTAAAATATTAGTCAGAAGATACGCTCAGCAATTGAAGCAAACTAAACTAAAACCATTTATGTGACTCATAAGATAAATATATTCAACCCAAACTTTACTGGAAAGTAATAAAATCTGAATGCTTTTATAGATCTTAAAAACAGGGCATTATATTGATGATGACACCAGAGCTATGTCTAAAGTAAAGAACTTTTTTCTATAATTTTTTCTTAACATAATGTTGTCCAGATTGTATCACATTACAACCCACTTAGTGTACTTTTCTGAGACCATTTTAATTTTTAACATTCTGTTTACTTCCTCTGTCTTTGAGTTATACCATAAGAACATCTGCTATAGCTTTTCTTTTACAACAGGTTTAAGATGTGGTGTTTAGAAATATTACTTACATGTGTTTGTGTGCATTAGAAGTGCAATTATGCTTCTTAGGTAGGGGCCAAATTCAGCTCTGGTATAAATGGAGGCAAACTTACAGTAGTTTATGGAGTTAATAATATGGCTGAAGTTGATCCAAGTGTGTGTGTTCTGTGAATTATAGAGAAGTCAGTCAGTCAGAGTCACTAATACAGGTACAACAGAGGCAACATAAGCTTTTCATATTGTTCTTTGATTGAATTCCAGACCTGGCTTACAGCTACTCCCTACAGGCTGGAATGAAAAAGTCAAGCTCCATACCCTTGCATATTTGGCCTCTGCTGAAACTGCTTATAAGGTTGCTAATTAATGCTAACTGATGTTGGCAGCTTTGCACTATGGCCCCATGTCCTCTGAAAATGGGAGTTAGATCACCAAACTCACTTGTCATGGAGTACCAAAGAACCATTACATATAACAACTTTAGTTCTGAGTGACTGACCCAGTGGTGGGAGTTTGCCTGGAGGTCCAGGTATGAAAGGCTGAGGGAACATAGCTCCCAGTTCATGAAGCACTGAGCTCCTTAAGACGCTGCAAGATTTGGCCCACTGAGTATATTCTTCTACTGCTTCCTGTAGGTTCAGATGGGAAAAAGGGCTAAAATCGCTGTTGACCTTTATTGTACTGAAATGTCAATAAAAGATTACAATGAATATGTTTTTTAATATTCAGTCTGAAATATGAATTCCAGTCTTAATCCATTGCAGTATTTTAAACAGTAGAATGAATTACCTTCTAATAGTCTAAACACATTACAGTGCTAATTTGCCTGAGTTTAATTTCACCAGCCATGGGTTATCTTCTAAGGGGGGGCTATGAATTTTATCTATATTTGAATAAAGTAGCAGGAAAGGGGCTAGGGTGGGGAGATTTCTATCAGAGCCATTTGCTATAAAGCTTTAGCACATCACTGATAGTGGGGAAAAATTGTCTTAACAGAACTAAGGAGAAAAATGAGCAGACCTGATTAACAGGAGCTCAGTTTTTATTCCCAGCAGACTCAACTAGCAGAAGGGGAAGAGAAGATCTGGGGCTCATTGCCAGAGAAACATTGCTCAATGTAAATATTTGAAGGCATCTTTAGAATGTCCTTATCATAGGGAGCCCTGAAGCTTTTGTACTCTGGAAGTTTTCAAGTCAGCAACAGCCTTGTAGATAACTATGGCAAAGAGTTTTTAATGTGGATTTTTAGTGCAAAGAAAGCTAAAACCAAGCTGACCAGAAAGACTGGAATTTCTGCTCACTCTCTCTCTCTCTCTCTCTCTTTCTCTCGCCGACTCATTGGATTTGTCTCTCTGCAAACCCTTTAAACCAGAGATTACTGGTCAGTGACTCTTATTATCCCTTTTATGCCCGTATCCTCTTGTTTTCAAGCTCCTGAAGGAATATTCCTACTTGTGTAAGTACATTCTCTGTGTCTTCCTTCTCCTATTGACTATAATGTTGTATGAATTGAATGCTATAGAATATATGCCTGCAGTAGTATTTAAAACCTTCACTGGATGTTACAAGGTACACAGGCAGTAGATACAGTATTCTGGATGAAAGCATTCTAATTTAAGATGAAAGGAGGCACTCAGTATTACCAGTGGGTTCACAAGTATTTTAAAAGTTAAAGATTCCAAATAACTTATATTGTCCTAATGTACAACTGATCTTTTTTATTAGGTGATGTGGATTTCTAAACTGTGCTGTCTTTCTTCCATCAACAAGTAAACTCATACAACTTTATGCTTTTATATTTTTCTGCTTCCCCCTCAAAACATAAGGTTTGGTAGTGTTTAGTAAGACTCTTTAAGATTTTCTTTTTAATGAAACGTACTGAAGGAGAGAATATGGTACAAACCATTAAAAAAGAGACATTTAATATAGATACAAGATAAAGCCCTTCAGAGATATTACTTTGATTTAGCTGGAAGAATCTGGATTTTTAAAGTAGATATTAAGGGTATATATTTTTTATTTTTCAAGAGAGTTCTATGAGAATATTCACATTTTTGTTTGTATTCATATACTCTCCCTATATAACTGAACATAAAGGCTTTGATTTGTAACATTTTGAAAAAGTGCTTTGCTGTTTTTCCTATGTGTACACAGGACTTGCCTCTGAAAGTCAGCTTTTTCGGGTCTGTCATTTGCTATCGCATTCTGCGTCAGACTGAGATATTCTAGTTAGTTAAACTCCTGCTGATAGTTATACTCGACATCCTGGAGAGATTATTAAAAAGGAATGTTGATATTTATGATACTGAGAGATTAACTGATATTTTTTGCTGCATGATGTTATAAGTATACTGGCCAAAATACATCTCTCTTGCCAACATGTATTTTGTACATCTGGAGAACTGGCACTTGAAGGACATTAGAGATACAACACCAGTTGCTTCAGTGGTGAGGGAGTGCACAATCCTCTTTCTTCTCTCCTAGTTAAACAGCGCCCACTCATGGGCCCTGTAGTTAAGTGTCTTGTCAGCATTTCTCTTATGATTCAAGTGACTTAGAAACCAATTATTTAAATATGACATGTAAGTAGGGAATATTCTAACCTCTCCCCACCCCCAACCCTGCAGTTTTACTACACTTACACATATTCTATTTAGGGTGTATAGAATGTATGTATGCTGGAGCTGTGCTGTGTTGTTTCAATTTAGATTATGAATTGGTTTGGAGCTCAATCCTATGCTATGCCAATTTTGAGATTTTTACAGTTTATTTTTTCCATATGCAAAAACAGGCAAATAATGCACACAAAAAAGCCATGTTAATATTTAAATGAATGTGCCTTGATTTTATTTGTTCATTTGTTGAGTTCACTTTCTGCAAGTACTAAAGAAGTCCAGTGCAGTTGTACATATGTCTGTGACAAGTACATTTTAGCATTTACACTATTCCATAGGCAAAGGAACCAGTTGATCTGACCATTATTTGAGCAATACATTAGAATGGTCACAATGAATCCATAGAATAAAAATAATTAACTGATAATAAATATTAGTTGTATAAATTAGAAGAAAATACAATCTTGGGTACGTCCTGTGAGCAGAAAGAAAGGTTAAATTGTGAACCAAGTTATTCACTTATCTCTCCTTATCTCAATTACAGTGATTCTGCAATAGCTTAATTTTTCAGGATAACCTTCCCTCATGTATACTCCTATATACATTATTGGTTATTGTAACTAGGTGGTCTGTGTGGCAGAACTTGATGGCAGTCGGGCCTTTGCAATTTGCAACCTGAGCTTCTGTGAATGATTCAGCTGCCTTTTGTGCAGCTAGGTGAAAAAAAACTGAATAGGCAGCATTCAGGAGGTTGTTAAACAGTCCCTAATGAAATGTTTTATTTTGTCTGTGGTTGCTATCATTGTGATGCCTTGTAGCAGCATTTCAAAGGGCTATAATAGCTGGCTGTGAGGATAAGCTGTAGTTGTGTTCCAGATAAATGCAGCCTACAGATGTCTGGAGGTGTTAGATGAGTACCTTAAGTTGACAATAGAGATGTGCTGTGCAAGAACCTTAAACATTTAATGTCACTTTAGCTATATATCAGTGTAATTTGTTAAAGAATCATGCATATATTTTTAGTCCCAAATTACCACATTTAGTGGTTGGGAATAATTCTGATGAGATGCATTTAAATATTTCTTTAAAATAATACATACCTAAATTAGAACGTGCAAATATCCATAATTATGCTAGGTACAAGAGAATCTCAAGAGACTCTCAAACTGTTCAACTCAAACACAGAGTGAATATTTTTATTCCCACTCGACAGGTAGAAAGACTGAAGGTCACACACTACGTCAGTGCAAAAGTCTAACTAGTGCCTCTTTGTACAGGAGGCATCACTTGTAACTTTCAGCCAAACTTAACACTGATCCGTATCATGGAAAATAGAACTAAGTTATTCTTTAGTTTAGAAATGTTGATCACTCTTAATGAGTCCATCCAAATATAGAAAGGGCTGCAAAACGTTCCTCTTTGAAAAAGTTTTCCACCATAAGAATGACAAAACACTTTTCCCTTCCACTTAACCAAAACATAATATCTAATGCATCAAAAGTGCTTACCCTATCCCAAGTGGAATTTTTATCCTGAAAAGGAATAAAAGCCAGAGCCTGCATAAAACCCACCAGGGCCTTCACTGTTGCCACTGATTTTAAGTAGTAGGTGCTCACATACTATGGTGATGGTGGCAGTATAAAACCCCAAGGCAGATCAGATGGCAACCAATTCTGTGGAAACGGTTTTTACTTTGCTGGGATGGGTTGTCAGCAACATGCTATTTCACTTCTGTGAGATGGCAGGTATCATTGCCCCACACGAGCATTACATTGCATCATGACTTGACAAAGCAATATCATCATCCATGTTTCATCATGGCCTCCTCTCCAGGTTTCCAGTCTTTCCTGTGAGAAACATATTGGCATCTCCTTTTCCAATCTTTGATCAATGACTTCTACACTCTGGGTCCACTAAGCAAATCTCACTGCCTGATAGAGCTGCTTACATCATGAGAACTGCATCTAAGTTGCAAATCCATAAAAATCTACAGGTAGCTCAAAAGCCAAAAATTTGGTGTTGCTGATTAGAAACTGGATGCTGTTTTACTGTAGAGTGTCTTTATTTCCTTACTGAACAAAGTGTAACAAAGTGACACCAAGTTCAAGCAATTTGGAACGAAAAACATTTTCTGTTCAGTAATTATATATCAGTCGTAACAGAATCAAGCTGATCACTGACTAATCTGTTTGCCTGCTAGCATTTTAGTTTGATCTTTTATTCATTGCCAGTTATCTGTTGAATTCAAATTCTTTTCCAAAGGCTTCAAAGCTTTCCTCCATCAGCTAAGCCTGACTTCTTTCATCTAATCACAACTTGAGGTTAAAGAGGCCTGGATCAGTCTGTCTACTGTACCACTTTTCTTCCCGACTGAGGAGCAGGGTAGGCTTGACATAACGCATTCCCCATCTACTCTCCAGGCATATACAAAGATAGTTATTCTCTTCACAAGAAGGCCTTTTTCTTCTCCAGTGCTGTCTTACTTCTGGAGAGGTCATCTGCCTGGTCCATCTTCTGGTTTCTCTGTCAGGACCTAGTTGTCCTCCTAGTCTACCTGATCTCATTGATGTAAAACTTTAATGGCACTTTGAATCCTTCTCTCTTTTCTCATAAGACTCGTCAGTCCTTCTTACATAATCCAGGTCTTTAGAAGCATATTGTGAGGAAGACCCAGAATACCTAGAAACTGGAAAGCATGATAGTACTAGGCCCAGTGGAGGGGCCCAGCATGGTTATGTGATCCAGAGGAGAGTAAAATGGATTTCCTACCCTCTGTTAAATCAGGGAAATTGTTACACATTGGGATTAGGACATGCTAAAACTAAGTGGCATTGCAGTTAGAACGTTGTCTGAGCAGTTGCATGGTAAGGGTTAATACCCTCTCTGACTTGTACAGCTCAGACTTGCTGCTAGAGGACTGGTGAGCAGGGGCATGGCTAAGAGCTGCTCACCAGCTCTCCAGTGGCTTCCCTTGTTTCACCCTTGGCCCTTGTGGCTTGCATCTCCATCCCACATCTCCCCTGGACCCTGGGGATCATTCCCTGCCCTCCCCTGGGGCTCACCCTTGCTTTCCCCCAGCTTTCTTCCCCAGTTCCCTGTTCACCTGCGGTTGTCAGTGCTATACCAGGGGTGATGGAAGCTCCTGTTTCACTCCAGAGGCTGTGCAGCAGCTGGGCTCAGCCTGGAGAGTAGAAGTGGCAGCAGCAGGTGGGCAACTTCCCCCTCCCTGCCTGCTCCTGGCCTAGTGGGAAATGTCTTGGGGGCAGGCAGAGAGGGGGAACCCACCCACACACTGCTGCTACTATCCAAGCTGAGCTCAATCCCTGCATAACCCTTCGATTAGGACAGGAATTTCCCTCACCTCTGAGATAGTGCTGGCAGCAGCAGGTGAACTGGGAGCTGGCAGCCAAGGAGGAGGCAGGAAGTGAGCCCTGGGGAAGATGGTAGTGAGCCAAGAATGGGAGGGAAAGGGGAGGGAAGTGGAGGGAAATGTGCCTCTGAGCACAAAGGGAAAATGAGGGCATTCTTACCTTCTTTGGAAATCCCCCTAGGTGCTGGTTCTCCATGGCTGTCACTCCAGGGCACTAATGTGGATGATAGATCTGAAGGATCTATCATCCACAGATAGGGGGTTGGGAGCAGTGTATCCTGTATTCTAGAGGACCACTCCCAACTTGTAGTGGCCCCATATAGCAGTTTAACATTACTGCAATATGAGCTGCCTAAAACGAGCCTGAGATAATCCTCATCCAAAAAGGATTATCTCTGAGATGCTCAGAGCCCACTTAACTCATCTTTTCCTGCCTTAACATGCAGACACTCCATTTTAAGATGTGGGAAA